AGAGAGAGAGAGAGAGAGAGAGAGAGAGAGAGAGTTAATGAGTGTTGTCATACTTATAATTTAACTATGTGGTATGCAAGTTTCATTACAATAAGCATAGCCCAGGGATAATTTGAATCTTTGTTCTGCCCTTGGCCGTCATCTTCCTTTCTGTGATTGTTCCATGGATGCATAGGATTCAAGGGATCGCTATACCAATTTAGCAAACTTCTTGCCCCTCAGCGCCGTCGACCGTAGCTCTACATCGATTAATTTTCTGTAATCTACACTTATATAATAAGCCATCCTATGTACTATATTTAGTATTAAGAAAAGTTAACATTAGTTAATGCATCCTATTTATAGGTTAGTATTCTATTTACTTATTTTATTTATTAGTTTTCCCCCATTCGATTTAATTAAAAATATTCCCATAAAATCTATTTTCTCAAAAAATTGTACGTAAAATTTAAAAAAAGTCATATTCTATCCGTGATAAAAGATTTGATCGGTCAAAGTTATATCTTTATTTTACAATAAAGTAGATATCAAGCCTAAATTAAAGGGTTTAGTTGTGTATTGATTTACGTAAATACATCTAATTTTTAAAGATTGTATATATTCAAAATTCTTTCTTATCTTTTTATCACCGATTGTATCTAATTGTATGAAAATCTGTTCAGATTTGTTTCTTTAGATGTAATCCGATTTCCTTATAATGAGATTTTTCATAAAAATATTAACCGCTATTGTATCTATCGATCAAATGTAAATTACAAATCTCAAAATATTGAGCCATCGTCTTCGTCCCTGTCAAACTCCTGCGAGCAAAAAAATATCCCCAATTAGTCTTATATTCAAAACAATGAATCAAGAATTTGACTTAATTAAACAAGTTAATAGGTCTAATAGGCCTATGCTGAAGGCTCGAATTGTAAGTTTCAAGACCGGGACAGCACATACAAATCCTATCTTGGTTCTTCATGATAAAACTATAAGCCAAATTATTTTTACTTCTTTTTTTCTAGTTTCGAACTATGAAATGTATATTTTCTACTTTTTTAATTTTATTTTTTAAATTTAAAATTTGACTTCTTTCTTTTTATCGTGTATGTATTCAGATATTTAAATTATTTATATTTTTTTAAGAAAATTAATTTTTATTGATTACTTTTTTGTACATGTTTAGGGAAATCGCATTGCGGCATGACTACGGGCAATCAACTTGGCTGCGTTTAGAGAGAGGAATTTTGAGGAGTGCATGATCATTTGTATCAAGAATTACCAAGTTGACAGCAATCTATGAAAGTATCGTTCGACATCCGGTGATTTTAAGATCATGCTACACGGGAACAACTATATGTTGTTGTTTCGCGTGTAACTAATAGAAGAGGTTGAAGATATTAGTTTGTGAGGATGACAAGTTGCCCAATAATCAAACTCGTAATGTTGTGTGCAAGTAGGTCTTTCATAATATAAGATTGTTTCTTTTTCGAGTACTATTTTTTGTACAATTTTCCTGCGTATTATAAAACTTTTACTGAATATTGCATCTTATAATATAATAATCCCCAAATAAATATATCCTGTGCCTCGCACAGGTCACGTACCATATATATCCCGTACATTTTCTCTATTCATTTATATAATTATGAGGCTGGATAAATAGCCTTAAAGTTGTGCACCATGTGCATCGGACGTGATCTATACTAGTTCTATTGTATGAATAAACTCCTTTGACCTTTTTTTTTTCTCTTTCAATACAAGTATACTAATATCGGACGTGATCTATACTACTAATATAGTACTAATAAAAGTTATACAAAAGAATACATTCTCTATTCCGTTTTTCTCTATGTTTCGTAATAAATCGAATGGTTGAACAGTGTATAAACCAGGGTGTATTAGTTAATTAATTATTTTAATTAATTGTTCTTAAAAAGCAGCACTTGCAATAATTTTCATTAACTAATAGAAGCAAATTGAGGAATTTTAATGTCCATGCACATTAAATGTGTACAATTTAGTAAATAAATGGTGAATCAGATAAGTACCACTTACTATAAAGCTTGTACCTTCCACATAGCTCCTCCTAAAATTAAGCAAGGAGAAACAAAACCCACCCCAGCTCAAATACCCTTCAAGCTTTTCTCTTTGCTGGTTTTGGGCTTTCTCTCTCACATACTACACACAGTGATGGTGTGAGAGAGAGGTTTTGTGCCAACAGATAATGAAAAAACAAGTGAAGGTGGAGAGAAAGTGTGTGTATTTGCAAATAAATCTGAAAAAAAATGAGGTGTTGATCAACCCACAAAACTCTCATCCACCTTGCCTCTTCTATTGCCATCTAATCCTCTCAAAATTTGATTTTTTTTTTTTACTTTTATTTTTTGTTAAGATTAAATTGGGTTTTCAAATTTTGTTCATTTTCTCTCTCTCTCTCTCTCTCTCTCTCTCTCTCTCTCTCTTCATATCTCTCTCTCTCTCTTCATCTAGAATTTCACTCACTCTATATCTCTCTCTCCTCTCTCACCTATCTTTTTTCTCTCTCTGTGTGTGTGTGTGAACAGGCGGATCAAACAATAGGGTTTCCTGGTTTTGCTTTCTATATCTTCTTTA